TTTAAAATATATATTTATATATATATATTTACATAAATTAATTTTACAATAAAAACTATACTTTACCTTAATTTAATATATTAGCACATTTAATTAATTTTTAAACATGTAAAAAATTTAAAAAGAAATTTAAGAATTATCTAAGTAAATAGATAATAGCGATAAAATTTAATAACTTCAAAGTTTATTATCTACAAATCATAATTTTTTCTAATTAAATAATCCCGAATAATCTTATATAAAAAAAAGGAAGGAAAAAAAAATAAAAAAATTGCCTTATACAAATAAATACAATATAAAATCCAAGTCTTGAAAATATATAAAATTTTGATAAAAATATATCTATTAATAAAATATAAATGTCTCAAAACGAAATAATAAACGAGGAAATTTTTAAAAATGTCAATTAATTAAATGCTAATTAAACTATATAAAATTAATAATTTTGTAAAAAAATTAAAATAAAAATTATTAATACATATACAAATAGCAAAAAAATAATACTTTTTAGATTAAAACAAAGATATTTAAAAAATAGAAAGATTAATTCATCTTTTATCAACAGATACTAACGATAGGACTATTGAAATTTGTTAATAAATAGCAAAGGATTTATAAGGATTTAGCTTTTTTGATTAATATTAACATTTAGATATATTTTTAGATATTTGTTAATATATTTATATTCATTAGTTTATTAAAGGTTAATATGTTTATAAATAGGTATTTTATTTTTATTTTCTTAATTAAAAATAGATTTATTTTGTATATAAATAAAAAGGGAGATAATTCAGATGCATTTTATATAGTTTTATAAGGATCAGTTTCAATATATATAGACGAACCTACTTAATATAAGAACTTTATATAATTAGTAATAATTAAATTTATTTATATATTTAAATAAAAATTAATGTAATTTATAGAAATAAATTTACAAATTAACAGAGGGAGAATCTTTTGGAGAAATCGGACTTTTGTTCGATTAAAAAAGATCTTAAAGTGCAATTACTACTGAAGATAGTTTTTTAATAATTCTAGAAAAGACTGTTTTTTAAAAATTTATAAAAGTGATACATATAAAAATTTATATATATATATTTAAATATTATATATATATACATATATAGGATTATTAAAATGAACATTTAACAGAAAAAATAAACTTTTTAAAAAATTAAGAAATTTTTAATTAATTATAATAAAGTGAAATAGCTGAACCAGCCTCTAAATTATAAATATAAGAATATAGTTCAAAATAAATAATAATAAGTGATGATAAACAACCTTAATATTTATATTTCATAAAATAAGGACGTGTTAAAGTCTATAAAAAGATATTATTTAAAATAAATAAATAAACTAGAGAAAAAATAAAAGATTATATAAAAGATCCTACAATAGAAGAAATTTAAAATAATCTTTTTGAATAAGAATAGATAGAAATTGAAGAATTAGGTATAATTAGAAAATAATATATATATATATATATATCTTAAAAAAAAAATAATAAAAATATAATATATATATATATATATAATATATATATACATATATATATATATTAATAATTACAAATAAGGGGAAAATAATTCATTCGGTGAATATTAATTATTATATAATAAATAATATGATTTTAAAGTAATAACTGTTATTCCATCTTAAATATATTTTATAAATGCTTATGATATGTTTAAAGTTATTTCTTAACAATCTTTAGAAAATTATAAAAAACAACTTAAGAAATATCCAAATTCAAATGATATTAGATAGATGTATTGGCAAAAAATAAACTGGATTACATACTAATAAAAAATAATTTAAAACACATTCAAAAAAAAAGACTTTAAGAATATAAACAAAAAGTAAGAAAATGTAAAAAAAAGTGGATATTTATCTATATTAATGCCTTATAATGTAATGGATATATAAGACGGATAAGATTTTTATAGTCCAAACAATTTTTTAGTACCTAAATATGGTAGTTTTGAATATGAAGATGAGTTTTTATAGAAAAACACATAATATAATTAAAAAAAATATGTATGAATATTTTATTTTTCTCATAAAAAACTTTTTAATAATCTACCTAATATACTTATTTTTAGATTTATTTTTAAATCTTTTTTTATAATTTTTGATAGTTTTTATTTTCTGAGTGTTTAAACTGTCTCTGTTCTTCGAAAAAAAAACTCCTTTTAAATTTCTCGCATTCACTATATATATAAAATTGCAATTCAGAGTCTCTTTTATAGCTTCTATAGCAGAAATTACTACTTCCTATAGATGTAAATGTAGGATTTTCTTCATTTTATTCATACAACCATAGTCCTTTAGAATGAAATGTCCATTAACCGCGCTCATATTCATATATAAAGAGATCTTTTTTACTTACTTTTGATGCCTATATCAATAGTTAGTATTAGAAATATCTATAAAAATATGGGACTAATTTTTTAAAGCCTTTTCCATTGAAAAAACCGTTCGCTTAAGGAGAAGCGGTTAATAAATCTATTTAGAAAGGTAGTTTAGTTAATATTTAGGTTATTTTATCTGTGAAATTCATATAACCGCTGGCTAATTTCAATTTCGAATGTTTTTTTCTTTTAAAAAATTCAAAAAATTTAAAAAAAAATCTTCGTCATGTCGTATATTAAGATTTTAAAATTATATCTATTAAAATCTATATAAATTAAAATATATATATAATTTACAAATGGAAATATATAAACATATCCTCCTAAATCAGTTATTTCTTTTGAAGATTAATTATCTTTATATAGAGTATTTTCTAATTTTCGGACTATTTATGTGACTTCAATTTCATCAAATGTATTTATTAATCTTTATTATATATATACATATATATAAAAATATTTTTAATTATATATATAAATATATATATATATATATCTATATATATCTATATATATTTAATTTTTACATTTCTTTGGCTTTTTCTTTTTTGTCTTATAAAACAGATGATAATTCTTTATTTTATTATATATATTCTTTTAAATCTACTATACTTTCATCTTATTATTTATCTTATTATTGTTCATTACTTTTATTTTAAGTATTTTCTTATATTTAGGAATTATTTTAATTTTTATTTTGGAGAAGAATTTCTAGTTCATTTTTGGATAATTTATTTGAAAAAAGAAACATTTTAAATTAATTTTAGAATACTTTTTAAAAATCAAAAGGATTGAAAATAGGAGAAGGTTAATTGTTAAAAAGTTGTAAAACACCCTATTAATTTACTTAAAAGCTATTATTTGAAATTACATCGATTAATTCTTATAAATAATTAGCTATTTATGGACTATTTCTTATAATAATATATCTATCTTATCTTTCTGTAAAATAATCTTCGCTTAAATTAGCTCTTTTTTTAAAATTATATATATATATAAATATATTTATATATTACTTTTTTAAAAGTTTTATTTTTATATATTCTTTAATATTTAACAAAAAAAAAAAAAAAATACTAATGTAATATATATAAATACCCTGTTAATATTATATCATTATCAAAAACATAAAATTTCATATGATGTACACCAAAAATTTCACGAAAACCGCTATCTTAAAATTAATTAAATTTTCTTTTACTATTAGTATTATAATAAAAATTAATTTTAATATTATTATTATGTAAATTTTCAGATTTTAATTATTAAATTAGAAAATTCGAAGATAATCCATCTCTTTTGTTTATTCTTAAACCTTAATATTTTATTAATATAAAAATAAATAAAAATATATATGTTTGTTTATATATATATATATATTAATATTTATATTATATTATTTTACCTCTATTATAATCTAATAAAAATGTCAGTTTTAATTTTTTATTTTTTTTTATTTATCCGTCTATTTGAGTAATTAAATATTTTTCTAAATTTCCAGTTCCTATATATAAAGTACTTATAAGAATTCTTTTAGTTGCTTATTTTATGCCTTTCTTTTTTTTTTTTTTTGTTATTTATGTTTTGTATTGTTTTTTTTACGTGTAATTATATATAAAAATCTATAGGCTCTTCTAATATTTCTAACTAAGAAGAATATAATTTAAAAAAAGGTTGATTTTTGGTTATTTCTTAATGTTATTTTATTAAAAAATCTAAAAGTTCTTTCATTTTATATTTTTTAACTTTTTTATCAAAAAAAAAAAAAAAAAGATATTAAAGTTCTTTTATTTTACATTTGTTTGTTAAAATTTTATTTTTTTATGTTAAATATTTCATATAAAATCTTATAAAAAATATAAAAATTAACAAATAATAAAATATACTACATAATATATTTATAAAATTATTTTTTATAGTTTTTAAGAAATGTAAGAAATGAGTCATAATATGGAAATTGCATAGCAAAAATATGAAAGAGAACAAAATTAATCAAAAAATTAAAAATAAGAAATACAAGAAAAAGCACAAAATCAAGAAAAAGAAGAATAAGAAAAAGATGAAATAGAAATAGAATAAAAAGAAAAAAAATAGGAAAATAATAAGAATATCAAAAATAAAAAAACAAAGAACAATCAGAAATTGAAGAAAAATCTTAAAAAGAAGAAAAAGAAAAAAAAGAACAAAGCGAAAAAAAAAATGAAAAAGAAAACGAAAATGAAAACGAAAAAGAAAAAGAAAAGGAAAAAAAAAATGGATAAGAAAAAGAACAAGAAAAAGAAAAGGAAAAGGAAAAAGCAAATGAATAAGATAAAGAAAAACTAAAAGTAAAAGAAAAAGAATAGGAATAAGCAAATGAATAAGTAAAAGAAAAAGAAAAAGAAAAAGAAAAAGAAAATGGATAAGAAAAAGAAAATGAAAAAGAAAAGGAAAAGGAAAAGGAAAAAACAAATGAATAAGAAAAGGAAATAGAAAAAAAAAATGAATAAGAAGAATAGAACGCAAAAGAATAATAAAAAAAAGAAGAAGTGAAGGCAGAAGAAGAAGAAATAAAATCTGAAAGTATTAAGGATGAATAAAAAGAAAAAGCAGATCAAATAGAACCAAAAAAACAATTATAAATTTTAGAAAACTCTCAATAATTAAGAACTTTATTATAAGACAGAAGTTCTAAAGATTCATTAATATAATAAATATATTTAGAAAGAAAAAAAGAAGTAAATTATAAAAATATTAAAATTCAATAATATATATATATATATATATATATATATATATATATATATATATATTATATAGTCATATAATAATTTGAAAAAATGGGATGATAATAGAACTATAATATTAAATGATCATAAATAATTACTTGATAACATATTAAGTAAAATTGAAAAAAGAATGAAAATTTCACAAGATTCAATGTAATAAGTTTTACGTTTTTTTAAAGAAAGAAAAGATCAAGAACTTTTTTATTCTAAAAACTTTACTTCTAAACTTCCCAAATTGAGTATTTCTTGGAAGGATACTACTGAATAATAAACGGATTTTTATCCAATTTTAAGTTCTGCTTTTAAATGTAATGATGAAATGAATGATATTTAATCAAAAAATATACTTAATTTTGTAAATTCTATTGATAGAAATATACTTAAAGATTATTTATTGCATGAAAATGAAGACTTTGATAAAAAACTTAAGGATATTCGTTAAAATATATAAGAAAAAGTTAATAAATTATAAAAACTTATCTAAAATGTTATTTAAAAAAATGCAAATTATTCAAAATTGTATTCTTAGATGATTGGTTAATAGAATGACTTTTAATTAAAAAAAAATAAAAAAGATCTATTAAATGTAGAAAGGAAATTTATAAACGCAGTTTTTATTTAAATAAAAGAATAGAAAAAACTTGCAAATGAAATAGTTAAATATTTAGAATAATCTAAAAAAATGGAAAGTAATATAAAAAAAAATATAAAAAATAATTAAAAAAATCTATAAAAAAAAAATATAAAAAATACATAAAAAAAATAATTAAAAAAATATATAAAACACATAAAAAAAAAAGACAAAAAATACAATAAAAAAAAAAGATAAAAAAATCTATAAAAAAAAAGGGACAAAAATATATAAAAAAATAAATAAAAAATACATAAGAAAAAACGTAAATAAATACATTAAAAATAAATAAAATATAATAAAAGTTAAAATATATATGTATATATATATATATATATATATATATATATATATATATATATATATATATATTATATTAATATAATATATTTTAAATAAAAAATAAAAGCATCTAGACTAGAAATAGTATAAAGAGTTTTTTAATTATATATATAAAAGCATTAAGAAACATATGGAGCTCATCCTTAAATGTAAAATGCTTTTTTGAATTTCCAAAAGTTTGATTTTTCTAAAGAAACTGGAGAAAACTTTAGTTTAGAGAAAATATTATCTAATGAAGATATAAAAATACTCAAAAAATATAAAGAAAATCCAACCGATTTTAAATAATTTAATGAATTTCTTACTTAATTTGAAATACAAGATATTAATATATAAGATCATCCTTTAGTTTAAAAATAATATAAAATATAAAGAGATGTGGGTAGTATTACTAAACAATTTAAAGAATGTTGGATGGTAGCCACAGTCGATGATATTTTACTTTTTTATGATGAAGAATAGGCTAAAGATTAAGAAAACAACGAAAATAAATGCGAGAAAAAATTCATTTTGGATTTTTTAAGTATAAAATAAAGATAAGATCCTTAATTAATTGATATAATAGAATGTCCTCCAGGTTTTTTGAGTGTTTCTAAGAAATAATTAATAAAATTCGAAAGAAATAATGATTTTGAAGAATTTAATTTCTTCTTATAAAGATATATATAAAGTTAATGAAAAAAAAAAAAAAAAAATATTTATAAAAATATATATATATATATAATTTTAAATTATATAAATTATATTACCTAATATATCTTTTTTTTTTTTTATAATTTAAATTAATTTTTATATATAATTAAAATATTTTCATTTGGGATATTTAATACTTTTTTAAGCATAATTTTTTTAAGAATTTAAGTTTCTTAGTGTTAAAACTTTAGTTTCATTATTTTCTTCATTATAATCTTCATATATATTATCATGTAAAGTATATTATTTTAAGGAATTTTACTTATATAATTATCTTACTTTTATATCTTATACATTGAGTGAGTTAAATTTGTAGTTTTATACATTATTTTTGAAGATTATTTAATTTTTGAATTATTTAAAGTATTCTAATTTCAGTTTTCTTTAATTATATTTTAATTCAATCAAGCCTTAGTTTTTTATTATTTGTTTTTGTCGTTTTTCTGGTATTTTTAATTCACTTATTTCTTAGTTTTTAAAGTATTTTTGGTATTCTTTGAGTACTTTTTATATTTTTATTACCTCGAATAACACTTGAAAGAATTATATTTAATCTTCTTCTTATAAAATTTCATATTTTATATTCATTATTGCTATTTTATTATTTAAATAATTATAATAAACCTAACTTTCTTCGAAAATTAAATTAGAAATCTACTTTATTGTTTTATAATGTTTAAATTCAGTTGATATTGTAACTATTTATTTTAGATTTTTAATTAAAAAATTCAATATGTTACTTATTTTGAAACAAATTAGAATATTATATTTAAAAGTCTAATCATTTTGTATAAATGCTTTATATTCTTATTCTAAACATAGTTAATATACTTCTATATTAAGGGATAGTCTCATTAAATAATCATAGTAATCTTTTAATATTATATTTTCGATAAGATTATCCATTTTTTTTTAAAATGAAAATATTTGGCTTATTATATTTTATTATCCTTCATTATTATTATTAGTATTTATTAGATTTTGTATATTATTTCTTAAATATATTGGGTTTTTATCAAACAATATATATGCGAAATCAGTGCCTATAAACTTTATACATTAGTGAAGGAAATATAATAATTTAAACTTTGATTTATATTATATTTTTTATTAATTTATTTATATATATTCGAATAATTTATTTATTTTTTAGTAATAAAAATGTCCTTTTTCATCTTAGAAATTCTTTATTAATAATATGATTTATTCTTCTTTTAATTCATTAAATTCATGTGATAAAATTCGATTTTCTTATAATATATTTTCCCAAATTGAAGATATTTTTTGTTTTTTTTGGTTAAATATATTTAATATTTTATTCATTATTTTTTAAATAGAAAATTAAAAGAAAATTATTAAAATTACATCAAGATTTTTTTTATAAATTTAGTACAGTCAGTATTTTTATTTTTTTAAAAATAAAAAATAATAATATATAAAATAAAAAAAAATAATATTTATATATATAGAAAACCAAAAAAAAATTGGAATTTTATAATAATATTCTTTATATAGAAAAAAAAAAAAAAAAATTAAAATTTATAATATAAAATTATATTTCAAAAGGATTAAAATACAATATAATAATTTTTATTAATATATAATAAAATATACTCTTAAAAACAACAAAATTTAAAATTAAATAATATTATATATTCACAAATACCTATTATTCATTAAAATTGGTTTACATTTTTCCTAATAATACCTCTCTAATTCCTCATCTTCTAAATCTAAATTTTCTTCCTCATCAAAAACTTCTCGAACTTCCGGTGTATAATGAAATTATATACCCGGCGAACTTTCTACAGCTTTTAAATACTCATGTACAGTTTATACGATATTATTTAATTCGTCCCTCGAGTTTTTATTTTCAACATTATTTTTAGGAGTAACATGTAGTCGATGATCTGGTCCAAAGTATTCATAAAAAGGTTCCGTATTTGGAATATTTCCATCTATTTTTTTCCCAATACATACACTAGTTTCATATGCCCAGCATCTCGCTACATTAGGGACATTATAACCTCCTCCTCCTACTAAAATTAAAGGCACTCCATAGCTTTTCATTATTTCAACAGCTTTTCCATGTCCTCTAGTTGATAGGTTGAAGTGACCGAGCTTATCGTATGCCAAAGAGTCAGCTCCACACTATAAAATTACTACATTAGGCCTATATATTTCCATTACTTTATTAATTACATCTTTAAACAAGTGTTCAAAGGAATCGTCATTCATCCCAGGCTTTAAAGGCACGTTAATTGAGTGAAATTTACCTAAACCATCACCTACAGAGTTTAAAGAACCACTTCCTGGGAAAAAGCCACCTCCATATTCATGAAAACTGACAGTCATAACTCTATTTGTAAGAAAAAAAGCCTCCTCAACACCATCACCGTGATGTACATCAATATCTATATATAATACTCTTTCGTAATATTTTAATAATTCCAATGCACATAATACTATATCATTTACATAACAAAATCCACTAGCTTCTCTTTTCTTCGCATGGTGTAAACCACCACCCCAATTTATAGCGATTTCTGATAGATTATTTATTATCATTTATGCACAATCAAGTGAACCACCAGCACTTATTTAGCAAAAATTATATAAACCTTCAAAACCAGGGCAATCTGAAGTATCTCCTATTCTTAAAATAAATATAAATAAATATGAATGAAGGATTAAAATTATATATATATATGTATAAAAAAAATATATATATATTTTTATAATATATATATATATATATATATTTATATATATATATATTTATATTTATTTATATTTGATTTGTTTATATACTTGTTTATTTGTTTTTTTTAGGGATTATTTATATGATATGCACCATTTAAATCTGATAATGGATCAATTTTTAGTTTTTTTAATTCCTATGTCCAACCATTACTGACGTAATTTTATAAATATTATAAATATTCGACATCATGGAATTTTAACATTTCTTCAAATGTTGCTTCTCGGGATGTATATACTTCTAAATCTTTATAGAGACCGAAATTTTATATTAATGAATGAGCCATGGCTACTCTTTTTGGTTTCATTGGATGATCTTTGCTATAATAGAATCTTTTTTTAATTTTTTGATTTTGTCTATACTTTTTTTTCATAAAAATATATATACTTTCCTATTTCAGGATTGTAGAAATAACTTATTCTACGGCCTTCTTAGAATGTTTTTATTGTATCCATATATATATATATATATTTATTTGTATTATTTTAATATTAATTAAGTGTCTCTTATTTTTTTTATATATTGTATTTTAAATATATATATTAAAATTTTATTAATTATCTTTTTTATAAAAAAAAAAATCTAAATAAAAAATTATATATTTTTACTTCTATTAAATATAATTTATTTACTAAAAATGAATGTTATTAATTGAAAGGAATTATAGATTTATAATATATTATTAAATTTATATAAGTTTTATTTTTTATATAATTTTGTTCATTAAATGTAAGATTTTAAATTATTAGTTTTGATTGAAAATAACATAAAATAATACGATTTCTAAATAAAATGTTTTTATTAATAATTTTTTTATATTATTATCATTTTTAACTTAAAAAATAATTAAAAGTTAAATAATCAAATAAAATAATATAAAAATGTAAAAATCTATATATAATAAATAATTAAATAAAAAAATAATGTACTGTATTAAAAAATTATATATATTATTTTTAAAAAATTAAAATATTTTTTTTTAATATATTCAAGTACGAAAACTGTATTCTAGATATATAAAATAATAAAAAATATTAATAAATTAATATAAAATGCAAAAATAAAATTAAAAAATTAAAATAATTATATAATTATTATTATATTATTATTTATATGTATATCAATTATATCAAATTAAATATTAACCGTTAATAAATATACAATTATGCATATATCTTTGATTATTAATATTTTCTAAAATATCCCATTTTTCTTCAATAATATCATATCTATATATATATATATATATATATATATATATATATATATATATATATGTATATATATATATATTTTTTAATTATTACCTTTCTATGCTTTTTAATACTTAATTATTAAATCCTCCTAAAACATATATATATTAATTATCATTTGAAGCTACAGCCGAAAACCAACATCTACTATAATTCATGCAACTAATAATTGTCCATTTATTACTTATTTCATCATATTTTTCACATGAGTTTAAATAATTTTTTCCATCAAATCCACCTATTACATATATTCCATCTGGTAAACTTACTGCCTAAGGTGCTCTTCTTTAGAAATTCATATTATTAATTGTTTCCCATTTATTATTATTTATATCATATCTTTCAGCACTATTTAAATATTTATTTTTACCTTCTATACCTCCTAGAACATATATCTTATTATCCAATCCTAATGTAAATCCGAATTCAGTCCTTTTTTAACACATATTTGATAATTTTTTAACTTTATAATTATCATAGTCATATAACTCTGTAGTTTATGATATTCCTAAAATGTCTTTACCTCCAATAATTATTATTTAGTCTTTTTAAATAAATTTTTTATAAAATATAATTTAATTTTTTACTATTTCCTATATTTAATACTCCAAATCCACTTTTAGCAGATGTTAAAATATGATGATTTCTATTAATTTAATTTATTTTAAGATTAAATTCTTCACAATATTAAATTTTTTATTTATTCTTTTTTTTTATTTATAAAAATATTTTTATAAATTTTATATATTTTTTACTTATTTTCCTCCTAAAATAAGAATATTACCATTACTTATTTAAACTATTCCAAATTTAATCCTGTTTAAATATATATTATTGCATATAGTTTCACATTTATTTTTTTATATGTCATATCTTTCAATACTAAAAATAGATTCATTTGAAAATCCTCCAAACACATAAATATAATTATTTTATTATTAAGAAGATATTAAAGAAAAATCACACTTAAAAATAATTATTAAATTTAAATATACATATATATATATATAAATATATATATATATATATATATATATTTATATTTTTATATATATTTTTTTTTGTTTTGTTTTACTTTATACATGCATATATCTGTTTATTCTGTTCTAGCTGATTTATTTAAATTATTATTTTAGATAACTTCTTAACTGTTTAATTCTGTAAATTATTAAGTATTAATTAATAAATATTTCTATTAATCATTACTTTCTTCACTATTTATTTTATATTAATCTTATTATTTAATATTATTTACAGAATTTTAATAATATAAATAATTAGCATCACTTTTTTTATAAATATTTTTATATTTTTATGATTTTTTTGTTTACATTATATTATTATTTATTAAAGGTGAATTTTAATTTGGTGAATTATTTTATTTTTAATTATTTATGGAACTATATGAATTGCTTTATTATAAAACCATTTTTTTTGGTGTATATTTATTAATATTTTTTTAATTTCTAGATTTTTTATTTATATTTAATTGTTCTTAATTATTTTTATCTTTTACATGTTTTAAAGCCGTTTTTTCTTTTATTATATTTCTTTGCTTATGATAGCTTATTAAATCTGTTTTCGATTCTAATTATTCTTCAACATTATATATTTTGTTAATTATATTTTTTTTTATATTTTTTTTTAAATAAAAAAACTTAATTCAGTTATTATTTTGTTTTATATTAATAATGACGGAGATTTATCTTATGTGTCTCTTTTTTTTCATATATAAAATAACATATTTTGATATTTATCAAAAAAAAAATACATTTTTTCATTTATATTTATATTAGAAATATCATTTTTGCTATTTTTAGGTTATTTGATAATATTTTAGACTTAATGCAAATTTTAATTATTATTATTACTATTAATATTTTTTTATATTTAATAATTATTATTGATAATTTATTCAAATTAATTATCTTTATTTATTTCTTTTTTTTAATTATTACTTTAGCTTTTGTTTTTTGTACTTTTTATTTATTTTTTAATTAAACAAAAAAAAAATTAATAATATTTTACTTATTGTTTAATTATTATTATATATTTTAATTATTATTTTTTTAACATTTTTATTTTTAAATTTATTATTTATTCTATGCAAAAAAACAATGTGCTTATTTTTTAGTATGAATGTTATTATTTACAATATTATTTAAATTTTAATTATTTGTATTTACTAATAAATTAGTTTTATTCATATTTTAATTTAAACTTGAAATAATTTTTTATAAAATTATAATTTCTGTTTCTTTATTATAAATTTAAGGAAATTATTTAAATTAGAATTTTTCTAAAGATTATAAAGGATTTTTACAATAGCATATTTGTTCGAAATCTTATGATAAATATTAAATATCTTAAAAATGATTCATTTATTCTAAATTATCTTAAAATTTATTTAATTAAATTACATAATTTTTATAATTTTATTCAATATTTTATAAACTATCTTCATGAATTAAAAATTATTATTAAATTTTTTATTTTAATATATTTTCTTATTATTCAAATATAAATTTTATTCCATTAAAAAAATCATTAACTTAAATCATTTATATTTAGTACTTATTTTTTTAAAAAAAATAAAATAAAATATAATATAATATAATATTAAGCAAAACAAAACAAAAAATACATTTTCTTTAATTTAATTTAAATTTTCATTTATTTTAATAAATATATCTGCAATTTCCAATTATTATGATTTACAATACTCATAAATTTATTTCAGTTTTTATTTATTTTTCAAAACAGAATTTTAAATAGAATCAATTTAATGTTATCTATGTCCATCTTCCAATATACACGCTATGCATAATAATAATTTATCATTTTCACAAAAAGCTTTTATTTTTTTATTAAATATTTTATTTTTTTAATAAATCTTACCTTCAAAAGTTTTATTATGTTTTCTACAAATACCATTTATATTAATCCCCGTATTATATTCTATTTAATTATTTTATATAGCTTATTTATCTACATAATTATAATTGTTTATTATTTGATTAATGCAAGCATTTACTGGCGTTATTTTATTATAATTTATTAAGGCTAAATTTTTGGAAAACAAGTTAACTAAGGTACTATATTTTTAATATCACATTCTGGGCATTTTATACATTATTCTTTATATAATTCTGTAGTACATTTCTCACATATTGAATGGCCACAATGGATTAAAAGTCTCGGTGATCTATCTGTTTCGTTGTATGTATATTAACAGCTATAACAATCCATTTTTTTAAATTTAAAAATATATTTTTATATAAAAATAATTAATTAATTTATAGATTTATTATTTAGTTAATATTTTTTTTAAAAAAAAAAAAAAATTCAAATAAAGTAAAATATTTATTTATTTCTTATAAATTGCTAAGTTAAATAATAATTTATTTTAGATATTTTTTTTTTAGTTATATATAAATAATCATTAGTAATATAGTGAAATGGAGGATATATAAATAGAATAAAATAAATTTTTAGGTGAATATATAATTTATTTTAATATATATTTATATAATAATAAAAAAAATATAAAATAGTTTAGAAACTAAATACTTATGAGAGACATATTATGATTTTAAACAAAAATTATAATAAATAAAAATTAAAATATGAAACAATTAAAAAGAAAAAATGAGTTTGATAATTAAATATAGTTTTTATATGATGAGTTAAATTAAAAATAAATTTATTGCGAAGAATTAAAATAAAAATATGAACATAATTTGTAAAATGAAGATGATTTATTTTAAAAAACATTTAATTATAAGAAAAATTAAAAATTAATGTATATAAAAAATAAAAAAATATGTATTATTTTAAAAAAAGGATGAATAACTATTTTAATTATAAATAAAAATAGAAAAAATTTAAGAAGAAAATCAAATAATAATTCAATAATATTAAGAAAAGGAAATTTAATTATAAAATTAAATATAAGCCCAAAAAAACGAAAAATTAAACAAAAATCTTGATTTAAATTTATAACAAATAATCGAAAAATAAAATATAGAAATTTAAATAAAAAATGAAGAAAATAAAAGATTAATAACATAAATTAAAGAACTCAATCAATTTAAATAAATGTATTCGAATTAAATAAATTAATTATAAGATTCTGAAATTTAATAATAAAATTAAATAAGTAATATATTTTAAATATATATATTTATATATATATTTATATATACATATATATATTTATATATATATATTTTATTATTACTTTTTATTTTTTTTAGACAATTTAAAAGAACAGATATAAAATTTTAAAAATCATTAAGAATTTCCTGATTTATTATTTAAATATAATTAATTAAAATAAAAATTTATATAAATTAATGAAAACAATAAATACCTTTAATCTAAGTTTGAAGTGTTTGAGGAAAAATATAAAAATTAAATAACTTTTTTATAAATCAAGAAAGAAGAATTTTAAAAAATGTTATTTACTTATAAAAAAATAAAGGAATAACTTAAAAATTCTATTTTTAAAAATAATATTCTTTTAAATGAAATTAAAAATTACTAAGAAAATATTTCTAAAATAGTAAGAAAAAAAAAAAACAAACATAAATATCTAAAATAAAAATAAAAATAAGGATTAAATATAATAAGAATTGTAAAAATAATAAGGTATAATGTAAAATTTAAACTTAATTTTCGAGAAATTAAAATAAAATAATTAATCTATAAATTTCGAAAAAATAAGTTTTGAAGAAAATAAGTATTTAGAAAACTTAAATAGCTAAACTAAAATTATAAATTCTATAGCCTAATAAATAAATCATTTAAAAAATTCTTAATAAGTTCATATTTCTAACGACGAATATAAAAACTTATAGTTAAAATATGAATTAAAGGTAATTTATTTATTATTCCTTATAAATTTTAATTAAATACAAAGACTCAAGAATGTTTATAATTACAATAATAAATATAATAATTAAATAAAAAAATAAGAAATATTTTAGAAATAAATACTATTAAAAATGTTGTTTTAAATTAATGTTAATAATCAATAAAAAATTATGAATTAATTCCAGAAAATTAAAATATAGATATACAATTGAAATTTTAAAATATTGATCTTTATTTTAATAAAGCCTACGAATTATAAATAGAACTTTTGAAAGAAAAAAATAATTAATTATGTAAATAACTTGAAGAAGCAACTTAAAAAATTATTCAAAATTAAAATTTATATTAATAATAAATAAATGAAAATAAAAAAATATAATAGGATACTAAACCATAAATAGTTAATATTTAATAAAATTAATTAAATAATAATCAAAATAATTAAAATATTTTTAATTAATAAGATTAAACTAATGTTATTTAATAAAATTAAAAAATTGTTAATTAATAAGATTAGGTTAATCTTAGTTAATAGTAAAATATTTAATTTGACAATACAAATAAATAAATGATTAAAAAACCTTATTTATCTCTTTAAAAAATTCCACCTTAAAATAAATAAATAAATGAATAATAATAAGAAAATTTATAATAAAATCGTAATATTATTTCTTAAAAAAACTCTTAAATAGAAATTGAAAAACCATTAGTATAATAATAAAATAATAATTAATATGAAAAAATATAAATCGAAGAGCTTTTTAAAAAATAATAATATAATAATATAAGTACTTAGACTAATATTAGTTTATAAGATTCTATTTAAAACATAATTTTATACAATAAAGACATTTTATAATAATAATAAATAGAAATTATTTAAAAAAAAAATGTTTAATTTAATAAAGTTAGTATATAGACAGAATTAGAATAAAAGGAAAAAAAAGTTCAAAAACAAAAAGAAATTGAGATTTAAACTGAAATAATTTTTTATGACTTAAATTAAGAGATATAAATTTTAAATAAAAAAGTTTTAAATTTGTAAAATAATTTAAATTAAAAAGAAAATGAAAATTAAATATTAAAAGAAAAAATATAATAATAAAAAAAATCAATAAATGAAATAGGAATTTAAACTTAAAATTTATATTAATGTTAAAAAAAATTAAGCAATAAAGATGATATAGACATAGAAATAGAAGAAAAAAATACTGACTAAATTGATTAAAATACTTAAACTTAATTTACTAATTAGAAAAACCTAAATTAAGAGGAATAATTAAAAGAATTATAATAGAAATATATTTAATAAACAAATGAAAATAGCTTCCTTTTAAAAAGTTTAGATGAAATTTTAAATTCTTAAATTATAAATGAATTAGCATTAGAAGTAGAGCTTAATTTTTATAGAAAAAATTTAAATAATATTAGAAAATCTATTAATTAAAATAACATTGAAAATATAAGTAATAGTGAATAAAGATATGAAAATAAAATTAAAATAATGAATTATTAAATAAAATTTAATTTGAAAATAACAGTCTAATTAAAGAAAATTAAGACTTAAAAAATTAACTAAAATAAATAGGAAATATAGAAGAAATAAAAGAAAATTAAAGAGTAAAATTAATAAATAAAATAAATATAAAAATATATAAAAAGATTAATATATAGATCTATATTTAATTTTTTTAATATAGATAAAAAAAAAATTAAATATATATAAATAATAATCAATAAATATATATATATATATATATATATATATATATATATTTATTATATATGCTTATAAGTAAAATAATTAAATTTAATTGAAAATTTAGAAAAATTTTAAAAATTATTAGAACTTAAAAAATAGTGAAATATAAGAAAAAAAATTTATAGTTTTTTATATTTTATAATAAAAAATTTAAATGAATAATATATTAATATTTAATATTAAAAGTTTATTTGTAAATTTTTTATATTAAAATTTTAATAAAATATTTTATATATATTAATAATAATATTCACTTCTTTTATATAATATAATATTTTTTAACGATTTGTAACAAGTATAAATTAAAAAAAATAATATTAAAAAATGAATTAATCTAAATTCAACTTGTATAAAATTAGATCATTTACATAATTACCAAAAGTAATATTATTATTTAAAAAAAACTTAAAAATAAATAAAATAATAAGCAATTAAACGAAATGCATTTAATCTCTAACGTATAAAAAAAAGAATAACAAACAATGTTAAATATTATGAATATGTAAGATCCCGAAACTTTAAGATAAAAAAGTCTTTTAATAATGAAATAGAAGCATGAATATCTATTATAAAAAATACAATTTTTTAATCCAGAAAATAATAATTATTCAAGTGAAACATTAATGCCTTATATTTAATTTTTCAAATATTTAGCCCATAAACCTTGTAAATATAATTTTAGATATAAATATTAATCCATTTAATTTTTTTTGTTATTCTAAAATAAAAAAAGATGATGAATTTTAAGTAAATTAAAAATAATAAGATAACATTTTTAGATTAAAAATTTGGATTCCAGATACAATAATAATAAATGAAGAAAATTTACCTCCAATGTGGTTTTATTCATCAATAGATGGATACATATATAGAACAGATTAATTTACACCAAAAAAAATACATGCGAAATTATCAAATTTTACAAACCCAGATGAATTAGTTGCTGTTATAAAATAAGTAATTCACATAATATGTTTTTTTTTTTAAAAAAAAAAAATTTAAAGCTTGATTTTAAATATAGAAATTATATTTGTGGAAATAAAATAAAATTAGTTTCTTCAAAAAAACTATTATAAGCAGTTAAGCATTCATTACAGACAACAGGTAATTTTTTGTTGATTTAAGAAATAAAAATTAAGAATATATATATACATATAAATATATATATATATATATATATATATATGTATATATATATGTATATATATATATATATTAGAACTAACTTGCTTTTAAAAATTTGTAAAGTCAAATGGATCTAAAGCTTTTATTTGTAGGACTGTTTGGAGAAAAGATAAAAATCCTTATTGTTGGATTATTACTAATAAAAATGACTTTTATGCAAATGAAAAAATTGGAGAATAATAGAAATATGTTACTAATGTTGAAATTATTAATTCTTGTACAATTATTTAAACAATAAGAGGAAAATATTTAGAAGAAACTCTACCTTATATTAAAAATATAGTTAAATATATAAAACATAATTTAAATATTCTTTTTAAAGAATTTGTAGCTGATTTTATTAAAGATGAGTCTGGAATTTGGTGGCTTGTAATATATTTAAATTAATTATATATATATTTAAATATAAAGATAAATATAAAATCTTTTACTTTTGAATAACCTATACCTAAAGAAATTGATACAAAATAAATTACTCATTATGGAGATTTTAATATATAAATTAAATAAAAAAAGTAAATATTATATAAATTATGATTTTTTAATTTCTAAATTATATTATAGTAAATAAAATAATATTAAAAAGTTAAAATATGTAAATATTGTGAAGGTGAATATCCTTAAAATGAATTAAACAATAAATTAACTTTAAAAAATATAATTTAAACAGATAAACATTTAATTGTAAAAATATTAATATGCTAAAAATTATTTTTAATAGCATAGGAACAAAAAATATAGTTGGTTAAAAAGATTTGACATATAAAATATTGATATAAATGCACTTTATAAAGAATATGTAGTATGTAATATGTGGTATTTATTTTTAAAATTAAATATATATATATATATATATATATATATATATATATATAATTATATATAAATATATATTATTTATTTATTTATTATTTTTTATTTATTTTCATATATTTAAAGCTTTAAACTTTATACTTAAATTGAGAAACTTATTTAAGATGAATTTAATTTTGCAAAAATGTTAGGTATTTAATGTAATGAAGAAACCAAATGCAATAACTTTGGATTTAATTAAAATTATTTAAATGGAAAAAAGTAATATATGTTGAATTAATAAAATCAATAAGAAAATAGTATCAAAAAATAAAAATATTTATATAATAAAATAATTAAAAATAGTCAACTGTGTATTAGATTTAGGTCTAAACGTATAATTAAGTATTAATGATAATTTTCCTATGATTAGCAATAAAGTTTAGATTAATTTGGATAGGTTTAGAATAATGATTTTACTATAATATTTGAGAGACATTCCTTTAGAAAGAGATTAAAATGCTAATTATTATGTAGAATATATTATTTTTGAATAAAAAACAAGGTATAAAATTGACTTAAATATTTCCTAAACAAATTGTAAAAGTTTAACTTGTTTTATTCCTTTAAATAAAATTAAAATTTTGTATTTTTTTTCTTAATAAAGAGATGGATTACATTAATATATTACTGAAAAACAAGTATTTTTTAATTTTTTTTTTTTTTCATATTATTCTTTGAAGTATTTAACTATGAGTTTATATTAAGAAAATACAAAAATAGGAAGTTTAGATATTTAATTAAAAGATTTTTTAAATGAATAAGTAATTAAAAATGAATATTATAAATTCTTTTCTGGAAAATCATTACCTATTCTTAAATGGGGAATAAATGTAATAAAAAATATATATTTAATTTAAATATAGATTTTTCCTAAAATAAAAATAAAGCTTACTATAGGAGTATTTAATTCAAAATAAATAGATGTTACAAGAATTAATTTAAAATATCATCATGGGGTATATATATATATATATATTATTTTTAAATAAAAAAGAAATATTATAAAATAGGTTTATTTACCTAATGTTGATTATTATACATGTGAACCTTTACCAATAGAATGGATATAGTTAATAAGTTAAAAAGAAGATATAAAATCACGTATATATATATATATATATATATATGTTTTTTTATATATTTTTTCTTTTTTTAATAAAAAATAAAAGGTAATTAATCTATTAAAGATATTTAGAGAATAAGTTTTTTGTAATAAGATAGTTCACCTTATATTTAAAATTAAAAAAAATAAAATTAAGAAAATTAAAGCAGATAAAGCTATTTTAAAAATATAAATTAAATAGAATCTAAAGAAAATTATAAAATTAATAAAGAGGTTAAATTTAATTTAGATAATAATTCTTCGAAATTAACTTTGTTATAAAATTAAAATATTTCGGAATTTTAATAATAATCAACACATATTTAAGATGAAGATAATGAAAATGTATTTATTTTATGTTAAAAATATCTTTATAAATATATAAATAAAGTAGTAAATTTATTTAAAAGAAATTCTAAATAATGATATTCAAAAAGAAATGAAAGACTATATAAATATTAAAAAAAAATCCAAACAAAAGTTTTAATTTTTCTATATATATGTATATAAAATATTATTTTATTTTATTATAGGTAAAAGTTAAAGAAAAAAATCTATTATATATGATTATTTTTTTAAAATGATAATATATATAAAATATTTGTAACCTTTCTGTGTATGTAAAATTATACATTAGTTTATTAATATAGGATATATATATATATATATATATATATATATATATATATATATATTATATTTTTATTAAATAAAAAATTATTTAAACGATTTTTATAACAATTTTATGTCTATATTAAATTTTTATTAAAAAAAGATAATATTAATTAATATTTTTATATTAATTATACATTTAATATAAGAATAAATATTCAATAATATTTAAAAAAATATATAATTTTATTTAAAAAGTTAGTCTTTATTAAAATTATAAATTGAATATTGTACAAAAATAATAAAAACTATGAAAAAAATAATACAAAGTTAAATTAGTATAAATGAAATTAAAATTTAAAATATGATTTGGTTAAATACTAGCTGAAATCTATATAAATATTAAATATATTTCTAAAACCATAAATAAAACCAATTGAATAAAATCCTTTATTTATGAAAAAAAAATATAGTCTTAATAATTAATTTACATTTAATAGAAATAATTTTCCTAAATTAATGTAATTATGTCAGCACCGTAAATTAAACATGAATAAATATTTTGTTTGATAAAGATAAATATTTATTTTGTTGTTTTTTTATTTATTTAGTTTATAAATTAGAAAAAAAATTAATTTTTTTTTTTTTATAATATATATTTCTTTTTAATTATGTTTTTTTATAAAGAAATATAAAGTTTTTTTACTTAAAATAAATACAAATGTAATTATATTTAAAAGTTATAATATTATTATTAATAAATAAAGAAATATAATAAATTATATATTAATTAATGTAATTAAAAAAAAAATTTAAAAAATACATATTTATATTTATTTAATAAGCTATAATATATATATATATATAATATGAATATAGTCTAAATATGAATTTTTATATTTTTTTTATTTATTTAAAGAAAAATTATACTAATAATATATTTTATATATTGAACAAATATAAATAATAATTATGAATTAAATGATAAAAAATACTAAAATATTTATTGCCTTTAAAAAAATTATTATATATAAAAAAGCAAAACAAAAACATTAATTAAAATAAATAAAAAAATAATATTTAAAAATAATAATAAGAGAAAATAATAAAAAAACAATAATTTTTAATAAAAATATGGGCCCCAAAAAGCAAAAAAACAATAAGCCAATATCAAAAGAAGATCAAAGGCTTAAATAATATATGAACCATCCAGCGAACGTATAAAATGATAATAAATAAGGAAATTAAAAAGGGTAAGAAAGTAATTCCTCATAAGATTAATTTATAGAATTAATAAAAAATGTTGATGTTTCAAAGCCTTTACCAGATTTCACTCCTTTCTATAATTCATGTTGTTTAGTAAAAAACACACTCGAAGAATTAGATTTATTAATGAAAAAGATTCAAAATAATAATTTGGAAGCCTTAGGATAACCACCAAAAGAAGATGAAAAGAGTTATCCTCCTTAATAATAAGGAATCGAATACTTAAAGAAAAAGAAATAAATCGTTTAAAGTATTAATGAATAAATTGCATTTTTTGATTAAAGAAAAGCTAGAATTTAATAATTAAATTCAAAGGTAAAATTTATTTAATCTTTTAATAAAATAATATTTAAAAAAAAAGGAAAATATGTCAGATGTTAAAGATGTTATTTAAATGTTGTAAATTAACTTTAGTGAAAGTATTAAATAAAAATAAGATCTTTTAAAAATATTATGAAAAAAATTAAATAAATATATAAAAATAAAAAACTCTTGTATTTTATTTAACATTAAACAAAATAAAAAAAAAAAATCGAATATTTATTTTAAAAAATATTATTTACTTAATTTATATATATATATTTATTTTATTAATTTTATAAAAAAAAATATATCATTAATTTTTAATTATTTAATAAATATTACAATTTTTGTAAAAAAATGTTATAATAATTAAAAAAATATATTGTCAAATTATATATAACTACAAGCTTTGTAAATATTTATAAATATTAACTTTGTATAAAAAAAATCAGAAAAAATTATTAAAAAAGATGCAAAAAATAAATCATGTAAAATTTTAAAATAAATAATAATATGATAAAGATAAATATGAATTTATTATAAATAAATATAAGTGTTAAAAATTATTAAAAAATTCTTATAAATATAATTATATATTAAAGAAAAAAATAAATAAAATAAAATATAATATAAATCTTATATTGAAATAAATATATTTTGAATAAAAGTATAAAAAAAGTAATTTTTTTGTATATTTATATTATTTTAAATTATTAAAAAATATATATATATTTAAAAAATAAAATTAAATATAAATATATATATAAATATCTATAAATATATATTTATATATTTATATATTTATTTATTCATATATTTATTTATTTATATATAATTATAATATTAAAAATTATATTTTAATTAAATAAAATCATTGAATATATCTATTATTCTATATAAAAAAAAATTTATATTAAAATTGAAAATAATATTTGATTATTTTTTTTAATTTTTATATTTGTACACTAATTTTGAACATAATATTAATAATAATAAAATAATTAAAAAATTTTCTTTATTCATTTAAAACTTAAATTAAAAATAAAATCAAATATTAATTTACATTTAAATAAAAAAAATGTTTATTTAAAAAAAATAAAGCCCTAAATAATGTACTATATTTTTTTAATACATTGAAAATAAATAAATAAAACTTCAATTTTCTTTACAAAAACTAAACTCATTTTAATTACATAATTTTTCAATATATTTTTTATTATTTAAAAAAATATCAATATCATCTTATTTTTATCTTATATTTTATTAACTACATACTCTTCTGATAATAAAAGGTTTAAATTTTGTATTTATTTTATCATTGAGTGCTATTTTTGGGACTTGTTTTCCATTTAAATGTTGAAATTATGCAGTTTTATCTACATCAAAGGGTTTAATTTTTAGTGTGTTTTTATAAAGAGGAATATTTCTAATTTAATAAAATTATGTATTTATTAAAGAATATGACTTTTCTCTTGAAATTTAGTTATTATTGTCAGGCTTATTTTCTTTTATATTTATAGATTTTTTTGCCTGATTTGCGAAAAAATCTTATGGAAACTTTTTTTCTAATTAATTTAAAATTAAATGCCTTTTTTTTTCAAAAAGTATGTTAAATTAATCATTATAAATTTATTTATTCATTTTTTTTATTTTTTTTAAAAAAAAATAAAATAAAACAAAAAAAAATTAAATAATTTTATATTTTTTTAAAAAATAATAAATTTTTATATATTTAATATATATATTAATTGTCACTAAAAAAATATGGGAAATTTAAATGTTTTTACATACTAAAATTTAAATAGTGATGAAAACAAAATATAAGTATTACCTTTTAATAATTAAAAAATATAAAAATTAGCAGAATAATTTCATTTAAATTAAAACGAAATGTTAACATTTCATTAAATTTTTAGATAAATAGATAAATAAGGAAGTGGATATATAGTAGTAGAAAATATGTTCGATTTTGTAGAAGAAGAATAAACAAGTGTATTATCTCCCTATATTATAAAACTTTTTTAATTAATAGATAAAGAAACAAGCGAAAGAGTTTGTTTTGTAGAATGGCTGCCGGCTATAGCGGCTTATTGTTTATTTACAAATGAATAAATATTTAAGTTTGTTTTTGGTATAATAGATTGTGATCATGATGATAATATTTCAAAAAAAGATATAATAAAATTCCTTGCATAAGAAAGATTTGGAAAAAAAATATTTTATTTAAATTAAGTAAGAAGTATAGAACTATTAGAAATTGAAAGAGCAGATAAAATAGATTTTGATAAATTTAAAAGAATTCAAAATTAAATACCTTTTATTAGTTATCCGTCTTTTAAATTATAAAAAATTCTAAAGGATAAAATTCTAGGACAAAAATTCTGGTTGAAAACATATAAAAAAATTAGAGAATTCGTAATTATATAATAAAAATTAAATATTATATACATATATATATATATATATATATATAATATTTTTAGGAAAAAGATGAATAAAATAAAAAATAATAAGAAGTTTTTAATTAACAAATAGATTAAAAAAAATAAATTAAAGTTTAGAAAAAAGAAAAAGCTTTTGATTCTATTTATTAAAATAGAAAAATAAATTAAAATATATTTAAATATAAATTTCTTTAACAGAATAGGTTAAACATTGAAAATAGGGAATTTTATTATCATAATGTTGATTACACTAACGAAGACTAAAATGTTAAATAAAGTTAAATTTAAAATTTAAAACAAGAAGATTAAGGGTTTTTCATAGATGTAAAAAAAGTAATAAATAAAAGAAGAATGTCTGATGGAATGATTTAGATTTGTCAAAAAACTTAAAATTTGGAATTTATTACACTTAATTATGAATCTGAGAAAAGAAATAAATCAAATATCTATATAAAATAATAATTTAAAACTAATAAAAAACAAATAAAGGAAAAAATGGAATAATTTAATTTTAAAGAAAATTAAATACTAGATAATACTTAAATAAATAAAATTTTATATAATAACATTTAATCTATTTTATCACCTTCTCATTAAAATCAATAAGATTATTTTAGCAATTTTTAATCTAATAAAGAAAGCAATCAAAATAATATTATTAATCTATTTATTATTAAAAAAAATAATTTTAAATTACATTAATAATTCAAATAGATACCAAGATCTTTAAAAAATGCAAACAAAATATATATTTGATACATATAAAAATAAGCATAAAAATAAATAATATATATATTACTAGTTTGTTACTGTTTTTTAATTATTTTGTAATTTTATATTAAAAAAATATTAATAAATTCATTTTAAAACCCTATTTTATTTTCGAATTTCTTTAAAAAAAAAAAAAGGAAACAAAAAAAAAAAGAAAAAATGATAAAAAATAATAATATATAAATGGCAAATATATATATATATTTATAAATAATATTTTTTTATAATAAATATGAGTATTTTTTAATTTAGAATATGTTCTAGATATATATTAATATAAAAAATATCAAAAGTTTATTATTAGTCGTTTATATTTTGTAAAAAAAATTCTAAATAAAGTTAATTAGTAATAAAAATAGAAGAATAAAGCATAAAACAATAAATAGAAATACAAAAAAATATTTTAAAATAAATTTTTTAAAGAAGGAAATATAATCTAGAATTTATAAAAGAGAATCTTGAAATCCATATATAAATTGGTTAAAAAAAAATAACTAAACCAAACAAAATAAAATATAATGTTTGGCCCAGATAAGAAATTAAATTTTATTTTTTGAGTAATAAAATTATTAGGTTTAAATCTTGAAGTTGTATTCATTATATATGTTAGCAAATTTTGTTTGAAATCATTATTAATAATAGCCAATTAATATCAAATATGGAAAATATTCATTTTAGATTATATATATTTATAGAGATTTTTAACCAAGTGTGTATAAACATAAGAACTTTTTAAATAAATAAAAGAAATGAAAAATAATATTTCCTGTGAAGAATTATGTAGTGGATTAGCTCCTGAATTCGAAGTCTATATGAAATATTGTAAAAATTTATAATATGAGGAGAAGCTTGATTATATTTATTTGAAAAAAAAAATATTTAAGGAAATATTTGTAAAAGAAGGATATTAATTTGATATTGTATATGATTGAATTCTAATTCCTTTGAGTAATAAAAATAATACATTTCTATCTATTAATTATTAGGAGGAAAATCAAGAAAACATTATATAATAAAACTGGTTCCATGAAATTTTAAAGGATAACTTTAGTGATAAAAATTACCATAATAAATTATTAAGGTAACGAACGATATATGAAATAAAAAATAATAAAATATACTTTAAAAATAAACATTAATAATTAATAAATTTGTGATAAAAAAATATAACTGTATATAATAATAATTTTTAGGTGGATAATAATAAAATAATAAGGATTATAGAAAAAACAAAAAATATTAATAAAAAAAAAAAAATTAATAAACAAAACATAAAATATATAATAAAATAATTAAAAAAAAAAAAAAAAAAAAAAATATATTGTATTGAATTATTTTTTTTAAATATAAAAAAAAAGAATAAAAAAAATTTATATATTTAAAAATAAATTTATTTAATATATTAAAAAATAAATTATATATATATATATATATATATATATATATATATATATATATATTTTTTTCATATTCATATTTTCTATGTTTTATTTCTAATAACATATTTAATAACGATTTTTTAATAGACAAAAATAAAAATATTAAAAACAAGCACAATAACTAATTATTCAATTAAAAATTTTTTCTTTTTATACAAATCTTAATCAAATTTAAAAACTTTAAATCCTAAAATATCAATAAGCAAATATTATAAAACTGAAAATGTTAATAATAGTACAAACCATGTAAAATATATCCGATTTTTATAAATTCTTTATTTAAAAGGTAAAGAAATATAAAAGTCAATTGATGCTAGTAAAAAATAAACATTAGTCGCTAGAAACATAATGTTTATTGCGATATTTTATTCGTTATACATATATCCATCTTTTAATGATTTTATATCCTAATAAAAATCTTATTGTAAATAATGTAAATAACATCCATAAAAACCAAATGCTGCCAATATAAACTAGCCTATCAATCGGAAAGCACTTTCTTTATTAAATAAATTATAATTAGGTCTCATTTTACTTAATTCTTTTAAGGGTTTATTTAATGAAGAAAACGACAATAATGGAATAGCAATACAATAATTTATATATATTAATTAAAAACTAGTATAATTGCTATATTCATAAACTAATATAAGGGCCACTATGTATTTATAAACATTAATAGTAAGATGATATCTATATATAAAATAATAATATTTATATATTCATATATAGTTTTTATAATAAACCTATAACATTCAATCATATTTGATAAAACGCATCTACCTTCTGCTAAAATAATAGTAATGCAATCAATAGACGTTTTCTAATAAGCGAAAGGTGCTGAAAAAGATGCATCTGCTTCACAAAAAGAAACACCTAAAATAGAAAAATATAAAAATAAATATATATACGATATATATTGTTTATATTTACCTAAATCTGCTTATTTGATGGCAGAACAATCATTAGCTCCGTCACCTATCATTCCAACTTTTTAATTAAATAATGTTTAATGCAAATAAATAACTTCAGTTTTCTATTCTGGTTTGCATCTTGCAAAAACAAAGGTATGCTCGATAATATTTTTAAGTAATTATTAATCTTCCATTTATTAAATATCTTTAAGTGCAGTCCCAGTAATTCCTAACTTAAAATCAATCTACTTACTATTAAATAACAAATCAATATCAATTTTTTCATTAGGTTTATTTAAATAAAAAGCATCTTTTAGCGAATTCAGTATAATAATATTATCTTTAGAATCTAAAATATTACTATCTTTAGCACATTTAACAGTTGTTAAAAGATTATCTCCAGATACTACTTTACAATTAATTTCTGCATTTTTTAATATTAATATATTTTCTGCACTATCATCTTTTAGTTGATTTTCTAAAATTAATAAACCTAAAAAAATTAAATTATTTTCAATATCTTCTCTTTTTACGTTTTTTAAATTTATATTTTATTATAATTCCTTATATCCAAAACCAATTACTCTATATCCCATATTAGCGAAAAAACTTAATTTTTCTTGAAATTTTTAACTATCTAAAGAATTTTTTAAGCAAATTTATTAAATCATTTCTGGTGAACCTTTTACAAACGCAAAATTTTTGCCATTTTGATCTTAAACTATGCATCCCATTCTCTAAAGCTAGCTCTCAAATTCCCAAAATTTTACCACCTTCAAAACTTAATTGTCGTTAAAAGCTTCTACTTACTCTTTCCCTTTCCTGATATTAAATCCTGAAAACTCAACCATTTTAATATCTAATTCATCCCCTATATATTCCCCTCCATGCTAATGAACTCCATGACAAGTCCCAAAAGCATATAAAATAACTTATTATTTTTCCTCTTTAATTTACTTAGGAACCTCAGTGATTAAATCTCCGATGTTAGAATCGCAAAAGCCAATTACATCCATATTATTTTTAGTCAAAGTTCCCGTTTTATCAAAACAAAAAACTTAAACATCACTTGCGACAACAATTTTAGATGGATCAACAGCGATAATATTAGAATATCCAAGCCTAATTAAAGCCACAGACTAGCAAAGTGCAAACAAAATAGGCACAGCAGGAGGAATCATCCTTGTTATAGAATCACATAAAAATAAAATATTTAGTTTAATAGTTAAGTTTTGTATAATTTTATAAAAAAATATAAAATAAACAATTATAGCAATTGCAATTAATATCAAAAGAAA